TTTTTTTTTTTCCAAATATCTACTATCCCCGTAAATGAATAAAAAACAATAAGATAGTTGCATTGTCATAATTTAAACTTTACGGTGGCCTTTATTTTCCACAGTTTTGAAATGTCCTGTAGCATTTGAAGAAAATAAGTTGTGGTGCTGGCACATGTTTGAAAGTATCCATCGTATGTTGCTTGGTGTGGGAGGGGGGTAGGAGGTGGTATACTGTTACATGCCAGCAACCCGTTGGCTTCTCCGTCTTTGCTACTCTGCGAGTATGGAGGAATGTGCTGCCTTCGAACAGCAGGGAGGACGAGCCCACTGACAGAGAAGCACTAAACACAGCAGTCCATGTGTTTGTTTGTTTGTGCGTTACTGTGTAAAGGCCAGATCTTGACAACTTCAAAGCTGCCCCTAAACAACATCTGTTTTGTGAGTTCGGAGTGCTGTTCAGCCTTGTCGGGGCACACCACGACTTAAAACTGTGGCTGTAAATCAATATTTTCCTCCTTCTCTTTCTGGATTGTTCCACTGGCAAGAGATCAAGATGGATAGGCACTCTTTGGGAAGAGCAGGAAAAAAAATGGAGTGAATATAGGTGGGAGGGACCCATCACATTCTTCCAATTCACCACAAACAGAAACAGATTTCCAGCAATTAGTCAGAACTGAGGGGCAGGTTTAACTGTGTGACGATATGTCTCAGACAGCCAAATAAAAAAAGGTATTACTCACGATGTTTGAATGTCAGCAGAGTTCCTGTTACCATACCATAGATATGTATTGAGAACAAATTAATAATACTATTTTCTTTGTCTGTTGTCTTTGATTATTTTGTATTAAAAATATGACAATTAGTGCAAAATTTAGTTTATTTTCTGTACATGTTCACACCAATTGCACAGTTTGTATTTTAGTCATTAATATCCAGACGTTCAGCTCATTTGGGAGATAGCTGCAATGGTTTGTTTTGTTTTGTTTTTTAAATTTTAAAGCAATGTATCTATATTTACAAGTATATTCACATAAATATTTTGAGACTTTTTCAATTTCTTCAAAAACCTTTTTTATTTGCTTCATATTTGTTTTTTAAATGTTTCCAGCCTTTAAGTTTTGGCTGTCATTCTGCTACTTTACCATCAAAGCTTTTTGCTACTTTTTGCTTTGAGCTACCATCCTGTTACATTAAACAGTCTATTAGACTTTTGCTATAGTGATTAGTCATTTTTTATACTTTTAGCATTTATCTATATATTTATTTTATATGTTTTTTTTATATAAAACATTTTACTAGTTTTAGCTTTCATCAAAGCTTGTGCTATTTTTAAGTTTTATCCAGGCTTTTGCTACTTTTAGCTTCTACCTATCATTTTGCTACTTTTACCAAGACTTTTGCTACATTTCACTTTTCGTTACAGTGTCGATACTTATATATATATTTTTTTGGGGGGGGGGCATTTTGCTCTTTATAGCTTCTAGATAGTTATTGCTAATGCTAATATTATCAACATAAATACTTGGGCATCATTTTGCACTCTACTTATAGGGGAATAAACAGTAAAGTTTATCATAGTATCACTCATTGGGGATAAAGTTGAAATTGTATTTGTATGTGTAATCTTTATATAAATTAGATGTATTCCATAGAATTAAATAAACAACTCGCAGCACTTGCACAATGTCCATTCCCTGAATTGACGGTTAGCTGCGGAGTCTCTCATATTAATCTATTTCAGTGTGTAATAAGTGAATTAGTGGGATGTAGAGGATGATGTATGACAAAGGCTGGCATGTCTAAAACCTGCTGTAAATCCACGTGCCACAGTCACTTAATAACACAGATCCAGACCGCCTGGCATCATTCTTTTCCGTATCCTCCGACAACCGAAGAATCATGAATCTTTTTGAGTCGGTGCTCTAAGCCCGCTATTAAGTTTTTTTTTTTTTTTTTTTTTTACATTTATTTTAAGTGCACTGTAAAATCTTTGCTGTTTACTTTAGAGCCTATTTAATCCTTCTGTGCTATGTATTTTTCCCACCGACCGAATGAACGGAGCATGATAAGACACTTAAAATAAGGGGAGAAATTGTTTTAAAGCAATTATGGGCATTTTGTATTTGTATGTAAACACATAACACCATGATTATCACAGCATTTTTATAATTTTCAACAATACTGTCCAACGTCACTATGTGGCAGAGGGAGATAATACAACTGACAGCAGAATCTTAGTTAAATTGTATATCAATCTTTTTGAATGAAATCCCAAATTAAATGTACTTTGTGAGTTTGATCTGCAACGTAGAAAACATTGTTCCAACACTATTTTTAATGCACTTCTGATGAGCGATGTGGATGTGAGCATGATCTGTGTTTAGCTTTCCAACATCAAATCATTTAAATTCAGGTGCAGATTTTCTTGGCGTCCACACAGAGCTGTATTGTTTCACTCAGTGTGTGTTTCGTCCTTTAACTTTGCCCATATATCACATGCCTTTCCAACCTTCAGCCTTCACAAACCCCCAACCACAACAGCTGGTGTCTCAGCAAGGACCCTGACGTTACACTGCCACCCTAGCCTTTCAAGCATTGAGGTGTCGGGGGGCCCCTAATGGCCTCCTAAAAAAGTGGTTCACAGTGGACCCAAATACAATCACATCACATGTCCTTCAACACGAGGATAAATAAACCCCCATCTGTCAATAAGTGATTAGTATTACATAGAATAAAATAAAAACAATATTTAAAGAATACAAAATAAATGCATTTTGTACACTAATGCAGCTCAGGAGAGAAGAAAGTTCAGTGGCTTATTGCAAGGCTGTGGGAAGTTTGGGTGCAGAGGGTGCTGCAGCACTCCCTGATGACTGTCAGGGAACATGCACGACTACAGACGCACTTGAAGAATAAATTAGAACATGAATCAAACAGATTTAGCATTTAACAGATGAGCTAAACATGCTTTAATCCAAGGATCATTTTTGATATTACTAAATGTAAATCTTGTGTATAAACATGGTCTTTGTTTATTTATGTGTATAATAAGCAACCACAAAAAGTGGGCAGCGCTAGGTCATAATTGCAGTTTTATAGAAACTGTCTGTCCAAAATATACAACACATGTAAGCCTGCATATTCTCAAATTTGAACATGCAGAATAAAAATGTGTTGTGCAGTTTGTATTTCTCTGCATTTGATATTATATATTTCATATAAATATTTAGGGTCAAAGAAAGCCACACACAATCACAGAACATCCAAAAAAAAAAAAAAAAAAAAAAAATTCCCATTGTTCTAGTGGAAGTTTAGACTTTCAATTGAAAAGCTCAGGGGCTATTCTAGAATTTGACCTTTAGGGGTGCTTAGCCCCCAGTGCTGACAATGGCTCTTGGCTTGAACAACGTGGTGGCCATTGGTGTCAGAGCATTCATAATGTGGGGAGAGAACGCATTGGTGGAGGGTCTGGAGGTGCTCCCCGAGAAAATTTTGATTGATGTGAATGCCATTTCCTGCATTCTGGTGTATTTTAATGGGTTGTTAAACATCTATGTTTATCTGCATAAGTAAACACTTGATTCAACAACTATTTTAGAGAGCTCAGCACAACAAGAAGTAGCGCTAAGCTACGGCGTGCAATACAGATGTGCTAGCTAAAATGCTACAGACGTAAAACTCTGCTTTACATTACGCAACCTAATACATGTTTTGTACACAATCAGTTTAGTGGATCATAACAAACAAAGACTAAACTTATGCAACCAGAAGTTGCAACATAGCTATATCTACATACAGAATACCCAAAGCAAAGCACAACTAGCTTTAAGCATTAACCTTTAATTTAATGATTAAGTAATTTAATTATTACAGAAAATGTTGGATTTACCTGCAGTTACATTCATACAGATGAGCATGTGGTACTTCCTGTTTATCACTGTTGTATTCAAGTGATCATGAAGTCAGTCGCAGAGCTTTTTTCATCTTTTACATTTTTCCAGACTCAGTTTGGGTTTTGGAAATAGAGTAAACTGTATTCCACTCTCTAAAGCAGGGCAATTAAATTAAACTGCTCAGTGAGGCCACAGTTTCTGAGAGCCAGCAGCTCAGGGGCCGGACATCCAGCAATTAAAGTCATTATGTAAATAAACTAAGTATCACAATGATATGTTACCTTTTAAATGTGTTCATTTTGTTGCATTGCATCATAAATGCAATAAACAGAACCTAAAACCCAAACCAAGAACCACTTTTTTTTTTTTTTACTTTTTTTTTCAGAGGTGCTGAGTTAAAATTTATGGGTGCTTGAGCACCCCCCCCCCCCCCCCCCCAAAAAAAAAAGAGGCTACAGTTGCTGCTGTGAAAAATTTAAGATGGAATCTGCAATAAATGTGAATTTTGTGCACACATTTCTTTTTCTGTCTTGTTTTCATTCTCATTTTATTTTTGTATTATTTATTTATTTATTCATTTTTTATTTATTTATTTTGGCAGTGAGTACTCAGCTGTAGTTGGATTTAATGTTTTACAGTGTATTTTTTAATATGTATATATATATATATATATATCATATACATATAGCCAACATTGAAATTTATTTTACTTTAACTGGGTCATTTATTTATTTTTTTATTATTAACACTGATATTTGGTATGAAAAGAGACACGTGACGTGGAAATATTAGAAATATGTTGGGAAGTAAAACAACTGATCATATATTTGAACATTTTATAAATCGTTGCTGCAAATGAACAAGCTCAGTAAAAAATACAAAATATATTCCACAAACCTGTAGTGATTTAATGGGACAATGTGAGACTATTTGTACTTGCATCTATGTGGAACACTAGCTTTGACATTCACAAGGGTAAAATCAACTCCAGGCTCAGTTCCAGGTCTGACCTGTGATGAACCTGAGCTGTGTTTAGCTGTCTGTCTCTCAGACTCTGTAGGACCCAGCGGAAAAGTGCTCCAACCAGAGGGAGACGGAGCAGGAGAGAGGGAGCGCGCTGAGTGGAGAGAAGACGTTCCCAGACCAGTCAGTGGCTTCATGGAGTTCTGTACATCCGATCCGCCGCCATGGATTGCAATCCGCGATCACTCCTTTTCATTTTACACCTTTTAATGTCCTGCGTTCTCCCTGTTTTCACCGTCATCTACCCCCCCAATGAAGGTAAGGGAACTCTCAGGCTTCGGACATTTGCTTGTGTGTGTGTGTGTGTGTGTGTGTGGTGCGCTCCAGGACTGATCGCCGCATGCCATGCGCTCGCTCGGGATCACTGTTTATAATAACTGTAATGACAATAATAAGATGATCCAAAAGCGCGTGAATGTGACAGTGCGATCAGCATGGACTCAACTTCAAGACAGATCTCAACAAAGCAGACAGGGAAGCCTCATTTCGGACAGTTGTGTTGGCTTATAGTTATTAAAATCGAGCTAAATTCACTTAACGCAGCTCCCAAAGCGCCTCTTGAGAGTTATTGAAGAGATACAAGACATCCGAGGTCTCTTTTTTTTTAGGTGAATGCTTCATGTCGACTGTGCCCAATAATCCATTTGGGGTAGACGCCCCAGTTACTGAGTGACTGTCAGCCTAACTCGATTTAAAGGCAATAAACAGAGGATGAGCGCAGTCGCAATGTGCGTAAAAACGCATATGGTCGCTTTTATGGTTTTGACCCGAAGGGGAGCAAAATGCAGGCTACTGTAGGAGAGTTGTGAAGATGGAGAAGTCTGAGTGACTTTCTATTTAAAATTATATTTTAATTGTATCTCATAGTGAGCTCTTTGTTTATTGTGCGCAAGTTTTGGTGACTTCTTTTGTGTCCAGCGCGCAGAACCCGACAAGTTTCGACACAGACACGTCTTCAGCCATGAGAAATGAGAACTATTATTAATGAGGAAATGAAAATAGTGTGGCATTTTATTCAGCCAATAAACACTGACAAACAAACTGATCAAAACACCTTCTACTCTTTCCAGACAAAGACGAGGACAGGGAGACGCGTGCGGAAGATGCTTCAGACTGTAACCCTTAAAAGACAAAATAATTAAATAAATAAAATATTAAAAAATACGAAATGGGGAGCTCATTGTAAATCACATCACACCGATTAAAAGTGTTCAAAACAGCAACTTTGCTTGTACAAGGCTGAGACGTTCAGTATCTCCGACACGCACACACACATACACACACGCAGGTCTGAGTGTGAGGACGATTGGATTAAAACTTAAAGAGTGATGTATTAAACCCAGAGGAGCCTTTATTAGATATAGTGTGCTAAAAAAAAAAAAAAAAAAAAAAAAAAACATGCGCAAAAAGGTGATTTCATAAATGTTTGCCTTATTTTAGAAGAAGAAACTGTCTCAATTTGTAATTCGAAAAGTTTATAGCCGTCACAAAATAAAGCTCAACTCATCATTTATTGCTCTCAAAGTTAAGAAAGAACAACGTTTAGAAATATTATTGAAACTTTGGTCATTTTATTTTATTTTAAAAATTAGACCTCTTTTTTTTTCTTTTTTTTTTTTTTTTTTTGTATAGAACAAACTATAACAAGCGTGATTTTTAAAGTTTATTTTAAAGTTCATCTTCGTTCAGATCTCGTCGGGACTTGTGTTCAGTGACGTTTGGGGCTGTTGGTAAAGAGGCTCTTTGGGTTAATTTATGGTTCCTGACAGGACGGCGGGAGTGGAGAGAAATGCGCTCCGTGACAAAATGGAACCAAAACCAAAAGCTGTGCTGCAAACCAGACTCTCAGACTTTCTGACAAACTTTGTTCATTGAGTAATTACTGAAAATGCTGAAGCGCACGAGATGGCTGAACATTGAAGGAGAACGTGATGCTCAATCATGACGGCAAGAAAAAGTGTGTGCAGATCACACAAACATGAAAAGAACGTTATTTAGAAGCAACGAATATTTTAAGCTCTAAGTGGTAAAATGATAATATTAGAGTGTTTTTACTCATAAATCTGCCAGAGAGTGTCAGTGTGGAGCTGCTCCGTTTCTTTGGGTTATTCTATAGAACCGTTAGGAGTCAGGACCTCAGAGAGCAGCAACGAGATCATACTGGACCAGATAATAAGTTTGTCTTTTTCTCCTCATGGGACGTGTGGAAATAAAAGCACCCTCCATTACTTCCGGTGGAGTTGGCTGGTGTCCAAAACCTCCAAACAATGAAATCTGTCCATATCTGCAAACAGACAGCAGGACACAGAGACAACATAGCAGTTTATGAAGTTTATTTTTTGTGTTTTATTGTTTAAGGGAGTCTGCCCTGTGGATATTTATGATGTAAATGAAGGAATAACATTTACTTTTTAGAAACATAGTGAAATGTACAGGTTAAAATAACCCCCTTTTTAAGTTTTGGGAAGTATTTGGAAGCTTTACACACGGATAAGGATCTGATGGATTTGCTTAAAGATTACAATATTCTGATTGAAAAGTATCAGGAAGCTCGACAACGAGGGATGATTTTTAAAAAATGTTTGTATTCATTGATTATTTTACAGCTTACCTCAGTTTTACTTTATTTTATTATTGATTTGCTTAATTTTTTTTTTGTAACTTCAGAAAAAAGAAAAAAAAACTAATTACAAACATCTGAAGAGACAGATTTTTCACGGAAAACAAACCTTGGCTTTTAGAGGATAATGAAAAACTTGTGTTTGTTTTTCCCCTTCCTATTAACAGCCCCGGGAAGGGAAAACAGGGGGTTTATCCTGTTTTATTTAGTATCCTGACCTTATTTTTACTTCCTCCCCGGCCTTCATTAGGTCGCCGTGGGCTTGTAAAACTTTTCTAAAAGGTTTAAATTATTACATTAGAGGCGGAAATTGGTCCTCCCCTCTGCTCCCTTCTTACTTTGAATGGGCATTAGATATCAAAGTTTCTCCCTGACTCACAGAAAACTGTCTAAAGTTGTGAACTGGTGCAGCTTGACCTCGCTCAGGCCCACTGCGGGACGCCATGGAGGCCGTGGATATTTTTAGCTGCCCGGCCCGGGGGAGCCCACTGCAGGCCCGCTGGGGTGCACGAGCCTCGTTGAGCGGTGGGACCTCTCAGAGCTGCTCCACACAAAGTAATCCCAGTTTATTTCCAAGTGCTTTAAGCCTGTATTTACAAGAGTGTACTGACCAGACCACAGGGTGAAGACTGGCATCTGCAACTCAACAGCATGTGCTCATAGCTTTAGGATTATGCGTGTGGTGATAAATATGATTATACAAGGAATGTTTATTTTTTGACAGATATTCTATACAGCATGTAAGACATAAGGATACGAAAGAAAGAAAGAATGGGGACAGAGGGGCTGGGCCAGCAGCAGCAACATCAGACAGAGTGACTCTGCTCTTGAATAATTCATAATGGGAGGTGAACACTTCAACCCTTTAACACAGACACAAGTCGCCTCACTTTGCCTGCACTGCGGCCTGCCAATCTTCACATGCTCCGGCTGCGGAGAAAGAAAAACACACGCGCTTACACACGTTCTATTCTATTCTACTTTATTTTCCTTTGGTGCCTGATCGGACTACTCGTCTAACATCTTGATTCTGTGAGAAGCTCTCGTATGTTAAAAGAAATAAGTGCTGGAAAACCAGCAGTTTGATAGGTTTGTGGACTCTGTTTGCTGTTTGTTGTGCTACTTTTTGTTTATCTTTTGAGGTTCCTTATCACTTTGTTCTTTGTCTGTCTGTTTTAGGGTTTTATTTTGTTGTCATGATTATTTTCTGTATTCAGTTGTTCTTTTGCCTCCTTGTGCTTCCAGTCATTCGCAGCACTTTTCCTCAGTCGGTCTTCCCTCTCCAGTTCTTCCCTGCCCATTTACACCTGTTCCTTGTTGTCATTTAGCCCAGGTGCCACTCTACTCATCACAGCCTATCTATTTACTATCCCCGTCTTTATACACCTGCAGTCTGCCATTGTGTGCTTCATTCCCTGCCTGGTTTTTTCCTGTGTCTCTTTGAGTTTTATGATTTTATAAATGTTTTTTTTTGTCAGCTGTTTTGGGCAGTTGTGGCTGAGTGGTTAGAGCAGTTGTCTTTCAATGCAAGAGTTTGGGGTTTGATTCCACCAGTAGTCACATGCCAAAGTGTCCCTGGGCAAGACACTGGACCATTGCTTCCAATGTGCATCTCATTGGTGTATGAATGTGATAAAGCACTGGTTATTCTTTGTATAAATATAGGGAAGTGCTCGATAAGATAGAAAGGTGCTATATAAGTACAGTCCATTTGTATCTTATCACTTTTGGTCTTCATTAAACATTTAAGGTTTTTTAAATTCCCCTTGTCGATCGTCATTCTTGGCTCCAATCGCTCTGCTAAACCTGACAGCAGGGGCTACAAGCTGTAAATCATGACAACACAGAAATCAAAATAAGTGCACCCCATACGTGCCTGCACTCCAGTGCTTAACATATGCTATGCCAAGTGATACTAGACATATGATTATACAGCGTGCATAATCATCATATATCTTGTGTCACTGACGACTTCCATTTGTCAGCTTCGGTTTACGTGTGCAGGATTTAGACGGGGGTCTTGGTTTGCTTTATATATATTGATTCACCTGTTTCCACCTCTGATGTTTCGCTCCATCTCAGACAGGCTGGCTGACTTTGCTATTAATACTCCCGTTTAGAGGCATTCCCTGATGGGGCAATGGCTATATTCTAAGCTGACGTTAGCTCGTTGCTAACTAACTGCATGCATGGGTGAGTGAGAGAGTCAGAGAAAAAGGGATGGAAGGAGAAAAATAAGATGGCGGGTAAATGTTTGTCTTTGCTTTTATTTTTTGCTTGAGTGCTTATCAGTATTCAGAGGCACATGTTTCACTGAACCTTGGAAAAAAGCTTATAGTTAAAGTATGCTAACAAATGCAAGTAGCTGTTCTAAATTTTAGAGATGTGTTTGCATCACTTTGATTCATCTTTATCTAAATGAAGTTGTTTCTGGGAAGAGGATGCTGTGCCTTTATGTTAATACATGTGTCTTTTAGGGGCATTTGTGGGTGCTGATTTATTGAGCCAGTTGCAGCTAAAGGGGACTTTTCCCTTGCGATATGAGAGCTGCCTAATTTTCTGCTTTCAAATTCCTTCGCTCGGCTCAATTTGAGTGGTGGGCTCGGATCGTTGGGAAATGTAAATTGGAAGCAATGGCCCTGGATGCTAAGCTGCTATTATCTGACATGAACAGATAGTTTCATTAGACTCTAATAGTAATGTGTCTACTGTCACTCAACTGGCCGAATGGTGCAGCTCAGCTGTGGCTCAGGTGGACATATGTTTAGCAGCTTTGCAAACGTAGAACAGGGTAATCCATATGTGTGTTTGCCTTTCTTGGGTTATTATCTGCTAATATTAATGTGATGGGCTCATAAAAAGTGATGATTATTATTATTGCAAGTCTACAAACAGTTGACACTTGTGGCTCTCTTGGCTAAGGCTTTATCTCCAGAATGAATTTTGTGTTCATGGTGGTTAAATATTTTCTTTGACCTTCGATGTGTACATTCTTCCTCACTAAAAGGTTTGAACAGGAGAATGCAAGGAGATTGTATTCCTCATATTTTCACAGTGAATGAGTCCCGGCTGGAGGGCTCATCTGCTCTGCTGCTTCACTCTGCTGTGCATGTGCGCTCCTGCTTGGTTAAATATTCGTTAAGGTGTCCATAGATGTAAATCAATTGGCTCTTAACAGGATGAGGTACGACAATATGAATCTTAGTTGATTTTTTTTTGTCTCTTTTATTTGGGAGGGGGAGAATGGACATTATTACTGAGTATTTCTCCATTAGATGTATCACACTGGTCACATAAAGCACACTTGTGTGATGCTAACAGCATGGAAATTCATGAGATTCTTTGGGCTCTGAAAAAAATGTTGCTTATTGTTGGTGAAAGAGTGAAATATTTTGAGAACATAAAAAATGTTAAGAATGCATATCACCCTCCATCTTTTATGGTAGAGTTTTAAATCAAGAGAAGCAACGGAGTTGTTTTGGTGAAACATTGGCAATAGCATTGTGCACAGAAAAGCAATATCACCAGACGTCATGCTCACCAGACTCATGTTCGGGCTGCTGTTGTTACGCCATATTGTTTTACATTTTTAGTGTTTAGCATATATCTTAGATCCTTATTTACTGGGTTTTTTTATACTTTATATTTTGCTTTTTTTGGGTGTAACCGGAACCCTGCGTACATAATTTTATTCCACCTCATGTACAACATGGGATGAAAATGACAAAAAAGTTGACTTGAACTTGAAAGTATGGGTTGTTAATGACCATTGGCTACTATGCTTGCAACGTAACTCCATGCCTGTAAAACTAATTACTCGTAATAGCCATCTTTGTGTTAGCTTATTTTAAGCAGTGTGAAGGATTCATTGAAATGCATGGACTCTCAAGTTTATTCAGTTGAGTTGTAGATGTTTATGCTCTGATAGTGTTCGGAAAGTTTCTGTGAAAGCTGTACATGGATTTATAAAATAAATTGCCAAGAGACAAACGATTGACTCCAAAAGTTAAAGCCAAAAAAAAAAAAAAGCAAACATGTTGCCTAATAAGAGCATTTGGTGTACTTGTACTTGAACAACCACACCAAATTTCATCACAGATTTTTTTGTAAATTGTACTGAAATACAGCCATTTTTTAAAGATCAGTTTACTAACGCAGCCATCTTGTATTGGGATGGCGCCAAAAGGTAATTAGTTGTAGAGGAACATCTAGTTATCACTTCTTGAAAGTTTCATTAAACTCTGTTCATTCATTTTATACTTTGCTAACAGACACAGACAAGGTTGACTCTAAATAGTTAATGGCAAAATTTAAACACAGACCTCATGAAGTAAGTTTGTACACAGAGTATGTGCTGGAGGTCAGTCTTAGCTACTGCCTCTCCAAAATTTTACTCAGCAGATGCAGAATTGACAAAGTTGTAATCACATTATAGTTTTTGAAGCTGAATTCATCGTGGCATGAAGGTGTCATGGTGAAGCAGTGGTGAGAGCTGTGGCCTCACAGCACGTAGTTTCCAGAACTGCCCCTGCCAGGTGCCTTTATGTGTGGAGTTTTCTGTGTACTCTGGTTTTCTCCCATGAACTAAAAACATGCATGCATACTGGTTACAGTCCAATCACCATGAATGAGTGTGCAGCCAGGTAAAACAGAGCTTAGATGGATCAAAAGCAAGAGTCCTTCAAAATAAACATATTTCAAAGCTTTTCTGCTGTCTGTATTTTCATAAGAAAAAAAAAAGTATGTTTTTGCCTGTCTATGTTAGGAAGTGCTAAATGTGGTGTGTACTTTAAACCCTTTACTCTCAGGACGAAATGTCTCCTGAAAAAAAATTCAAGAACACAACAATCTTAAAACCACACTTACCAAGTTAACATACAACATTTAAATGGACTAGAGCACCAATCTGTAAATGTGTAAGAGTTGCACCGTTTGCATTTTACCTTTTGTAAAGTACCACGTCTCTGGGATGTGCCTGCTGAAGAGCAACACAATTTATATAAAAAAAAAAAATAAAAAAAAACCAACACTTTTTTTATATTTTGTTTTGCTGAATTCTGGTGTTTGCAACCAGCTACACAGCTATTTGTCACTTGTAAAAGCATATTCTAGGCTGTGCACATATTTTCTTGCTCACTTTCATTCATATCATCAGCCCCGGTTCACTTTTTGGACATAAAGTTGTTAAAAGGGCTGTTTTTGGAAATAAAACGAGTAATACATGAGAGAAAGTAAATATGTTGTTTTTTTTTGCAGTTTATTGTTGGTGATAGTTAAAACAAAAGACAAACTGCAATTAATTAAAAAATATATTTAATAAAACATGACATGCCAGGTTGTGTTTGAGCATGTCTGTGTGGGTGTGGGTGGCAGCTGAGTAAATAGTGACGATCAGTGCTTGAGGTTGGGGATTCCTCTTGCGGGATTAAATAAAGGCTAATTGGGGCTAACAAGAACTAGTCACTCATATGTTGTCTTTGTTCTCCTTTTCCATCTCACCACAGTTAACCTGTTGGACTCAAAATCAAGTCAAGGGGAGCTAGGATGGATTTCCTACCCATCACATGGGGTGAGTATACAGCAAATATGTTTTTCTTTATCCAACAAAACCACAAACATCAACAGCTTGTAGGAAATCTTGTTTTTTAGACTCAAGTGGTTCTCATTTTGGTATTTTGAACCTTTGAGTCAAGTGCAGATTAACCCGCTTTTCAGATGTTTCTGTCTGTTCTTCATCTTGCAGGTTAAAGGTTAAGTATTCAGTCTGCCATATGGTCAAAATACTTAGGGGGAACTGCACCACCACCATTCATGTGTGGTTGTTTGTATATTTGAGTTTGTGAGTTTATTTTATTTTATTTCTCCAGACAGATTAAGGCATTAAAAAAAGTGTGGGCTGTCAGCCTAAACCCATCCTCATAAGACTTTGATAAAAATACAGCGCTTGAAGAAAATATCACATAAAAACAAACTCATGCATTTTACTGATGCATGCAAGCTTTGTAATTCCACCTTTGACATTCCACTTTTCAGCTCGTGTGGAGCATTATGTACTACTTCATTACATTCATCAGAATTTTTAAAGTGAAACACCATCAGTCAAAACATATATTTTTTTAATTCTTAATGGATAACTGCTACTTTTAAATAAATTACGTCTAGGTGTTTGTTTGATCAAAATATGTCAGGTGCAAATACTTATCTGTGCACTTTTTGTTAAAAAATATGGACATTTAGGAGAACAAGTGATACTAAAATATTTTGAACATCAATAAAAAAATTAGAAGGTCTTCAGAGTTCATATAAAATATATATATATATATAGTCGCCTATGTATAGATATATGTGTATATCTATATAGATATAGAGAGAGAG